GCAGAGAATATTGTACCTCACTTGTTTCCCCAGTTTGCTACAGCAAATATTCCCACCGGCTTTCTGACTTGAGTCACACAGGGTGCTGCGGGAGGAAATGTGAAGGAGAGAGACAGTCAATTCACCAGGGAAACCTTCCATGTTGGAACTCACTGAGTCCCACAGGGCTGCCCACTGCAACAACACCCAGCCTTCCTGCTGATACAGAAATTGACACAAGAAGTAGGAGCCTCCACAACAACAACAAATAAACATCTGTCCCTGTTATCTCTGGGGCCAGGCAGAAATAAAGCTGTATTCCTGGAGATTAGACTGATGCTGGTTTATGTTTTACAGGTATGGAACATTTGGTAAAACTGTCATCAGAAATAAATTGGATGAGAAAAAATGTGCCTGATAAGATTGGATAATAGAAAGTTTAGGTAGTGTTAAGAATCACTATTGGTTGTATTTGACAAAGACTAGAACAAAAAAAAAATGTATTACATATTGAACTGTGGCTTCTCCCTCCCAAATCATTTGCTGCAATCCTATCACCAAGTTTCTCAGAATGTCATCTTTCTGGGGAACAAGTCTTTACAGAGGTAATGAAATGAAAAAAGAGGTCACTAAGATATGCTCTACTTCAACACGACTGGAGTCCTTATGAAAAACACAAATTTAGACACAGAGATATACACAGAAGGCAAATGATGTGAAGAAAAAGACGACCACCATCCTAAAGCAAAGAAGAGATGCCCAGAAAACTTTCCATACAACCTCAGAAAAACCCAATCCTACCAGCACTTGAAATTTAGACTTCTACTGTCCAGAAGTGAAAAAATAAATGTATGCTGTTTAAACTACCCCATCTGCAATACTTTATTACAGAAGCCCTTGCAAAGCTCCACAAGAATACTTCAGGGAAGAACCAGCAACCTTTCAAGTGGAAATGAAGGAGAATAAACAGTTAAGTTGTAGGATATACAAGTGTGAAAGACACAACTCTCTCATCTCCAACAATCAAAGGTAAATCGAGAAAGACTCTGGGCAGCCTTGAGGCCAATACTAAATCAAAGAGTCAGACACACACCCCCATTGTGAAAACATGAACAACTTAAGGGCAGTAAATCCTTTACAGGGAAAACATAGGAACAGGAAATTCAGGCTCTTTGTGAAAGCCTGACAGGTTGCAGGTAGACAAAACTAATTGTGAGCATGGCTCTTGGTACACAAAGCTGCCTGGAATGAAACAGATGATTAAAATGAACTAGCTTTACCCTTGTTTTATACCCAAAGGCCCACACTGCCATATGACAACAGGAAGGAATATGGAAACAAAATAGCCCTCAGGCAGCCATCCATCTAGGGATGAGAAGTGGACTGGCAGGGTCTTTCAGTTGTAACAACTATAACAGCAAAGGGAGATTGCTTGTCCCCCAAAAAGCAACACAAATAGCCCTTGGGAAGCAATGGGTTGAAGATTTCAAAGGGCAAATGAACATACATGACCTCTGCTTAGTTTGCCTCTGAAAGGCTCATGAGTTAAGGGCTTTTTCCCTAGAAAGGCTCTACTGGGAATGGTGGAACCAGTAGGAGATGGAGCCTAAAGGGAGGTCTTTAAGTGATTGGGGGAGTGGTCTTATGTGATTGGGTGGTCTTAAATGAGTGGGAGAGTGGCCTTACATGATTGGGTGGTTTTAAGTGGTTCTTCATTCCTTCTTCACTGTCTTGCTCCCTCACCATAAACCACATAGTCTTGTTCTACCACATCCTTCTGCCATAATGTGCTGCCTCACCACTAACCCAAAACAACAATGTCAATCTATCATGGGCTGCAACCTCCAAAATCAAGAGCCAGAATTTAACCTCCCTGTTTATGTTGGGTATGTCCTTACCGTGACAGAAAGTTGACCAACACATTCCCTAAAATAGGGGTCTTTATACCATATGTCCCAGTAAACTCCAAAATTCCTCTCCAAGTCACCATTTTATATTTCCATTCTTTCCATTTGCAAGAACAGTATTGAGTTCAGTGATATTAATCCTGTTACACTGCACATTAGGGGAAGCAAATAACTGATCTTTGTAGTTCATAAGTATCTAAAGCCAGAAGAATAAAATAAACACTGTATGTAAAGTCGCATCACAAGATGCCAGCCTTTGTTCTCACCATGACTAGATGTACTCTTTATATGGTCTCACTAGAGAGTGTCAGGGGAAGATATATTTTGTATAGGAATGCCACCCAACCAAATACCTGTGATGGAAAGAGAAGATAATATTAAACTATTATTATTCAAAAATATTTGCTCCCTTTTCTTGGGGGAGGTCAACTCTCTGCATGGCCACAGATCTTGCTTTAAATGAAAAGCAAAATACTTCAAGACAAAGCTTTAGAGAACATTTGATGCTCTGTCATGCTCTCATTTTTTTCTGTCACAATGTGAAGCACTGATCTACATAAAAGATATTCTGTCAGTGTGCTGTAGAATCTCAGACATCCCATAACAGCACACAGAGAGAACCTAGTTGTTATTTCCACAGTGACACCAAGCCTATGTTAAGTGATACAGCCATAGAATCCCTCCCCACTAAAAGGACCAAGTCAAGCTTCTGCCCAGCCCCATAAACATTTGGCTCCTTCTTCTCTATTCATTGAGGCTGAGTTCCAGAGAAACCACAGCTAGCACGTGGACTGATTAAGACTACAGATGCATAAAGCACTGGACAGGAGTGTCTGATTTGAAGAATAGAAATACGTTTTGCCAGAAGATCATACATTTTTAAAATTTAAAGTAAAATAAGATCAAGCCTTTCTTGATGAAATGTGTGCAGGTTTTGTACCATTACACATCAAATAAGGCTGTGCAGATGACCTCATGAACCATTAGGTCTGCTTCTTGGAGAGTGAGGAACAGCCCACAGCAGAGTATCCCTGGAACAGTTTAGACTATGCCGGCAACTTTTCCACCAAAATGGAACTTCAAACATGACTCCCCCAACTGTTTATTAAGAAGGAAACTTCCTTTCCAGTAGATGAAGAGACTCACACATCTGACTGCCAATTACAGTTGTTAATCATAACTTTCTCAGGCTATCAAGGTATTGTGGCCGACTCTGGATCAGATAAATTATGATCTCTGAGGTGGATCCTCAGCATCAGAATGGTGTGCATATATGTGTGTGGGTGTGCAGTGGGTGTTTATGTGTAACACTAGGGACCCAACCAAGGACCTTGCACATGCTAGGCAAGTGGCCCACAGAGCTATATTCCTAGTCCTTCCATCGGGATTTTTTTTTTTAAGTTTCCCAGTTGATTCTAAAATGCAACCAGGGCTATAGATCACTGCACTAGACCATGCACCTCTTGAGAGCTGGGGGATAAAATTGTCTTCTTCAAAATCAGAAACATACACTATGATGGGCACACAGCTGATGTTCCCTTTGATAGAAAGGAAGAAAATCTGTTCGATGAAAGCACAGTGGATAAGTGACTCTAACACTGAACAGGCCTCCTATCAGCTTGGTGCTTTTCCCACAGCTTATCCACGCCATTTCATTTTTAAAATCGAATCATTTTTTTCTAGAGCTGCACCATGCAATCCACTAACTATCATCCAAAATTTAAATTCAAAATAATTAAAATAAAACAAAATGTAAAATTCAGTTTCTCTGTTACACAAGTCACATTTCAAGTGTTTGATACACGCAGGTGGCTTGTGGCCATAGACCTGGGCAGGGTAGATACACAGCTATCCTATGATCAGCAGTAATCTAGAATCACTTTTACTTTTAATGGTGGCAAGTGGCCTTGATGATTTAGTACACTCCTCTCTTTTTAAAGATAGTAATGAAATTTAATGATAATGAACATAAGGACATAAATGTGGGTATCAAAGAAAAACCGCAGAGATCAGGAAGTGAGATGTCTAAGCATAACAGAAATAAGTCAAAAACAGACAAACCTCTTTGGGTCTTGGTCTACAGTACTTGCACTATGAATTAATGAGCTACACTGATGGAAACAGGAACTTGAACAAGAGAAAAATGCTCTGTGTGTCCAGGTTAAACCATGTTGGAAGCCCCATATATCAGCTCCAGACAGCAAACAACATTAGTTATAGACTAATGGCCAGGAATCTGAATGATGGAAAATGACAGGGGAATGGGAAGGGGAGTCTGTTGGGAACCACTAGTCCAAGCAGAAATGTTCACCCTAGCAAAAGGAAAGGAGAAAGGAAAACCATCCACAAATATCTGAGAAAATATCTCATGACTTTTCACTATAGTCACAAGTGCTTTGTCAAATCATTTCTTTATTGATTACCAGAGCAAACCTTTTTAGACTGCCAATGACAAGTGTCAAATGTTGTCCAAGATACTGATCTGCGAGGGAAAACAATCTAAGTAATATTGAAAGCTAGTTATGATATAGAGGAATAGAAATCTGAAGGCAAATGAGAAACTAAGTAATCTTAATTTATGCCAAGCACACTAAAGGACTTAAGCAGAGACAGGTAACAAATGGAGGATCTTTTAAAAATAAGATGGTCAAAGAAGTCTCTCTGAAAAAGTAACATTTAAATTGAAACCAGAGCCCCGCGGTCTCACCTCCTCCCTCAGGTAGTCAAATCTCCTTGGCTCTGGCTGCTGCGCCGCCCAGTTTTTCTGTTTCCTCTTCAAACCCCGGTGGAAGATATTTAGAGCTCCTCCGGGAGAAGTGCTGCCTGAGGGAGAGACACCAGAAGCGAGCTCTCGGAAACCAAAGTTCTCTTTAAGAACGCTTGCTGTACCAGGCCTTAGCCACCGACACCACTGCAGCTGCGGCCTCAGCATCTCTACACGAAGGACTACATACTCGCGCACTTTGTAGTGCGCCTACGCCACGCGGTTATGGCTACGGCTATGGCCACTACAAAGCGACAAAAATGAACGCCAAAAGGGGGCAAACGAGAAGTAGTTTGGCCCCGTTCGCGTACCGTTGCGGCCGAACTTCGCGCAAAGGATTGTGGGTGTGATTTCCATGTGAGGCTAAGAGAGACCCGAGACGTGTTTGGTTTCTTTGAACGGTTCTTCAGTAAGACTTTCAAAATGTCATCCAAACAAGAAATAATGAGTGATCGGCGATTTAGGCGAATTTCAAAGGATCCTAGGTTCTGGGAGATGCCAGAAAAGGATCGGAAAGTCAAAATTGACAAGAGATTTCGAGCCATGTTTCATGACAAAAAGTTCAAATTGAACTATGCAGTTGATAAAAGAGGGTGCCCTATCAATCACAGCACTACTGAGGACTTGAAACGTTTCTATGACCTTTCAGATTCTGATTCTGATCTCTCTGATGAAGATAGCAAAGCAGTGAATCAGCAGAAAATGAAGAAGAAGAAAAACCATAAGACAAAAAAAGAAATAGATTCAAAAAATACTATTGAGGAAAAAAAGGAAACCAAAAATATTAATCAAAAGCATCCTGGAAATAAACATGATTTAGATCATTCTGAGAGAATTAAGGAAATCAAAAGCTTGGGTAAATTTAAGAAGATAGATTCAGAAATAACTTCTAAGAAGAACAGCAGAGAACTTACACAAACAAGTACAAAACAGAAAAAAAGCATTACTGAAAATAGAGATTCTTTTTCCCAAAGGGAAACTAAAGACGGACCCAGAGGTTCTGGTCTTAAAAGCAAGAGATAGTGATGGTAGCATGTCTGACAAAGACGCTCTAGAGGAAGATTCAGACAGTGCTGATGAAATAGGAAGTGATGAGAAATCTGAAGATGAAATCACAGGTGGCAGTGGAGCTTCAGCTGATAATGGAAGTGAAGATGAAGAAGGTGACAGTGAGGAGGAGGATGAAAGTGACAGTGGCCCTGATCTTGCAAGGGGTAAAGGAAATGTAGAAACTAGTTCTGAAGATGAAGATGACTTGGCAGATTTATTTCCAGAAGAACCTGGTTTTGAACATGCTTGGAGAGAATTAGATAAAGATGCTCCTCGAGCTGATGAGATTACACATCGATTGGCAGTTTGCAACATGGACTGGGATAGATTAAAGGCAAAAGATTTACTGGCTCTGTTCAACTCATTTAAGCCTAAAGGAGGTGTTATATTTTCTGTAAAGATATATCCTTCAGAGTTTGGAAAAGAGAGGATGAAGGAAGAGCAAGTTCAAGGACCAGTAGAATTATTAAGCATTCCTGAAGATGCTCCTGAAAAGGACTGGAACTCTAGAGAAAAACTGAGACATTATCAATTCAAACCACTGAAATACTATTATGCAGTAGTGGATTGGGATTCTCCAGAAACAGCAAGTAAAATTTATGAAGATTGTGATGGCCTGGAATTCGAAAGTAGTTGTTCTTTCATAGATCTATGGTTTATACCAGATGATATTATTTTTGATGATGAGCCGAAGGATGTAGCCTTGGAAGTGGATTTAACAGCATATAAACCAAAATATTTCACATCTGCTGCAATGGGAACATCAATGGTGGAGATCACTTGGGATGAGACTGATCATGAAAGAATCACAACACTCAATAGAAAATTTAAAAAGGAAGAACTTTTGGACATGGATTTTCAAGCCTACTTAGCTTCCTCCAGTGAAGATGAAGAGGTGATAGAAGAGGAGCTGCAAGGTAATGATGAAGTTGGTGGAGAAGATGATGGGAAGACAAAAAAAAATCAGAAGGATGATGAAGAGCAGATTGCTAAATACAGGCAGCTCTTGCAGGTTATTCAAGAGAAAGAAAATAAAAGAAAAGAAAATGATTTGGAAATGGAAATTAAGTGGGTTCCAGGTCTTAAAGAAAGTGCAGAAGAGATGGTAAAAAAACAGATTGGAAGGAAAAGATAAACTGACTCCTTGGGAACAATTTTTAGAGAAGAAGAAAGAGAAAAAAAGACTGAAAAAAAAAACCAGAAGGCTCTTACAGAAGAGACCAGTGAAGATGAACTTCCCCGATGTTGATTTGAATGACCCATACTTTGCTGAAGAAGTTAAAAAAATAGCTTTAAAGAAAAAATCAGTGAAATCTGTAAAAGATGCCACCTCTCCAGAGGAAGAAACTGAAACAGAAAGACAAAAGACTGAAATGGCTTTGCTTGTGATGGATGAGGAGGAGGACAGCAAGAAACACTTCAATTACAACAAGATTGTGGAACACCAGAACCTGAGCAAAAAGCAGAAGAAGAAGCTTATGAAAAAGAAGGAATTATTAGAGGATGACTTTGAGGTAAACGTGAGTGATGCACGATTTCAGGCAATGTATACTTCCCATTTGTTCAATTTGGACCCTTCAGATCCTAATTTCAAGAAAACAAAAGCTATGGAAAAAATTCTTGAGGAAAAAGCCCGGGAAAGAGAACAAAAAGAGCAAGAAATTACTCAGGCAATAAAGAAAAAGTGAGACTGAAAAAGCATCCCAAAAGAAGCCCATTGATCCTGCCTTGTCAGTGCTGATTAAATCTGTAAAAAACAAAACAGAACAGTTTCAAGCAAGAAAAAAGCAAAGAATCAAATGACTGGATATTGTTTCTTCTTAGATTTAAATGTGTTCTAAAGTATACAAAAACAGAAAAGGGGACTTTAGAAATAAAGTCCCCTTGTCACCTAAAAAAATCTTTTTCTGACCATAGTAAAATTCCTTTCCATGTATACTTGTGCCTAATTGTGGATGATTAATTAAATTACTTGAATTACAAGATTTATAAAATGTGTATATATTATGAAGGTCAGTTCTTACAGTTAGAAAGTTACTAGAAATTAGCTTCTTAACAGACTGTTTCCAATTCTGTATAAAAATACAGCGGTATTTACTTGTAAGTGAATGGTAGAGATACTTTGAAAATATGTGTATGTCATCTCGGCCATACCACTCTGAATGCGCCAATCTTGTCTGATCTCGGAAGCTAAGCAGGGTCAGGCCTGGTTAGTTCTTGAATGGGAAAATATGTGTATGTCATGCATTCATTTCTCCAGAAGCAAGAGGCAGATTTAGATAGCTATTAAAATAATTTATTTTTCTATCCATAAGAACTCTTTGTTGTTATGTTTAGTAGTTTATGGAATTAATTTATAAATAAAAGCTCATAAATTCTTACTAAAAAAATAAAAATAAAAATAAATTGAAAGCAGAAAGCAAGTGAAAGCCAAATATAAAAAGTGGAGAGGCAAGGAGGTGTTCTGGGCAAGAATAAGAATGATAAGGTGAATCAAAGAAAACCTTGTAGTATTCAAGCAACCAAAAAATGATCAATTAAACTGGAGTGAATAGAGGGGACCACTAGAAAGGCACTGCATTAATAAACAGTAATCTTGCTCTGTCCTAGGAGAGTATTCCAAAACAGAATTTGCTGCCTCATGTTGTGGTGTTATCTCCATCACTAGGGGAGATGAGGCATAGGATTTTGAACTAATGGGCCGTTGGACATTAAGGGTTCCCTTAAAGAATCCTCTATATACAGCCAGCCACACCTCTGCAAATGCACCAACCTCCATCATGGGACCTTCCTGCCAGTAGCCAGTACAGACCAAGAAGCAGCCAGCCCAATGGCCAACATCGGGGGAGTCTCAGTGCATCCACATGGGTCCTACAAATCCTGTCCACATCCCACTGCCTCCCTAGGAAACTAGGTTCAGAGAACCTCTGGTGCCTGGTCCATTCCCCCATATCACAGAGAGGCAGCCAACTTGGGAGGTACCTGGGACTCTACAACTCGTTCTTCCAGAGGAACCCAGAAAAATGGCAAGACAAAGGAGCAAAATGTGATCTCACACCTCCAGCTCACACAGAACATCAAGAGACACAGATGCAGAATAAACTGGAAGTAGCACACTTGAAATTTCTCAAAAGATAGCAACTGAAGTGAAGAAACAACTTCATGAGACTGTAAACCAGATCAGAAATACTATATCAGATAAAAGAAGAAATGACAACCATAATGGAAGAATTGTTGAGCATAACTAAAGAAGACAAAGAATAAAAGAAAAAGAGCAAGGAATACAGGAAAATGATGGAAAGTTTGAATGGGCAATACAAGAAAGAATTAGAAGGCAAGAAACAGATCCAAAGAGGCATCTAAGAAATGAAAAACTCCACTGAAAGCAGGCAAATACACTCAAACAACGATGAGGATAGACTTTCGGACCTTAAAGTGAGGATTGCAACTAGCAATCATGAAAGGAAAGATCTCTTAAAAGTAATAAGAAACCAGGAAATAACAATTCAACAGCTGCAAGACAACACAAAAATAATTCAAGGCCAATAGATGTCAGCAAAAAACAAGAGCAAACACAATGATGTAAAAAGACTATTTACAGAAGTAATAGCAGAAAACTTCCCAAGCATGAGAAAAAGACCTAGCAGAGATAAGTGAGGCATGTTGAACTCCAACTAGCCATAACCAAAATAAGTCTATACCCACACATATAGTAGTCAAGATCCCAGAAACTCAGCACAAGAACAGAATATTAAAAGCTTTTAGAGAAAAGAAACACATCATCTATAAAGGACAACCTCTCAGGATCACAGCAGACTTCTCAACATAAACCATGAAATCAAGAAGAGCTTAGAGTGAAGTATTTCCAATCCTGAAAGAAAACAACTTTCAACCCAGATTGATGTACCCTGAAAATTTTTCAAAATTAATGGGGAAATAAGATACTTCCAGGACAAAGAACTGAAGGAATTCATGATTGATTCATGAAGGATTCATGAATTCATGATTGATTCATGAGGGATTCATGAATTCATGAAGGATTCAATCCTACACAAAGAGCACTGAAAGGTATTCAAGCAAGATAAAAGTGACCACAATTTCAAGAATAAGAACAGAAAGAAATCAAAAACACAGAAAGTAATTAAACAGAGGGGAAAAATATGAAACCAACAATAGGAAAATAACATGATAAAGCCAAGCCAATACTTATCAATCATAACCATTCATGCATGGCCTCAATTCATCAACATAAAGAAAAACAAGCAGAGTAGATCAAGAAACAAAATCAATATGCCATATACAAGAAGCACATTTAACTCAAAAGGAAATTCATATACTGAAAGTCAAAGGAGAGAAAACAGCACTCCATGTGATACGAAACCAGAAAAGAGAGGGGGTAGTATGCCGACCAATCGCAGAATGGAAAATAAATATATGGTATTAAGATACAGTACATTGCTAATCAGCTAAAAGAAGGATAACCTTGAGGCTCTTACAAGTAAATGGGTGCAACTTGAGATCAATGCTCAGTAGTGAAATGGTTCAGACTCACACAACTTAACATGGGTGAGCATCATGTTCTCCCTAAACTACAGGAGTCAGTGGGATCCAAAATGTACGATAGATATTGTGAAAGTGAAAGGGAAGGATATGGCTAAACAGGAAAGAACAACTGGGATCAGGGAAAGGAGAAAAGAAAGATGGGAAGTCAGACCCAAGCCTTTCCCCAGGTGTCCGTCACAGACTGCGGGGAGAGAATAAGCCTCCACCAAGAAACAGCCCCCCACTGCAAACCAGCACCCTGCAGGGCTGCCAACAGAGCGGGGACAGCCAGACTCCAACCCCTTCTGACCCACATTCTGGCAAACAAAAAGTACCATCCTCCCACCCCAGAAGTGACCAGCTGATCTGGAGAAATACAGGCTGTGATGATAGCTATTTGTGAAATGTAATTTGATGCTTGTGGTGTTTGGTGTTTCACCGACCTTGCATGTCTACAGCCCATTGTTTGATCTTCTGGGCAGAGGACAGTGGTATGCAGTGTGGCATCTAGGAGGGATCTGCTTCTGAATGTGGTAGTCATTGTTAATTCCCTATTATCTTGTTTTGGAGTCCTGTATCATTTTCATTGTTGTATTGGGTTGGATTTTATTCCCTTTTATATTGCTTGATTTTTTATATCTGATGGCATGAACAGCTATTTCAGAGATAGCAAGAGATATTATGGTAGCCATTTTGGACTTACCATTGTCTTGTTTTGAAGTCCATTATTACACTCATTGTTTTGTCTTTATAGTTTTCATTCTATTCTGTTTTGTTTGAATTTTACTATGTCCAAAGGTACTTGCAGCTATTTTGAAGACAGCAAAAGGCATGATGCTAATTGTTGATGATTTGTAATGTTTTAAAACTACACTGGCTTATTTTGATTTGTTTTATTCTGTTTTGTTTTCCTTGGTTTTTCCTTTTTTTTTATTTAAGAGGAAAAATAGAAAAACACAAAACAAAACAAAGTGGTGTAAGGTTACACATAATACAGAACTACAAAAAAAACATAACAGTAAGAAATCACCTATTAATAGATTACATATTATCATCTTGGAAATAGTTGCTCACATCACAGTATCAAAGAATACAAAGTAGACATTCAAACAGAGAGACTGCAAACAGCTGTGTTCAATGATCCAAAAACATTAATATAGTCAGCTATTTAACACCGCTAAACACACTTGCTGTTATATCCCTTAGAGCTCTTTTTTTTTCCCCTCTCTTTTGTACAACAAAATTTACACATTTTGGATTTTATTACTCCTTAGTTCTTATTACTTTTGGGGGGGGGGAGAGAATAAAGTCAAATATGGCAAAACAAATCTGTCAGTCAAAACCAAGGATAAACATAGCACATGATGTAGAACAGAGTACAAGGTTATTAACAATGGTTATCAACGTTGTCTCTTGTTTCCTTAAAAAGAATTGTCTATCTCATTAGATATTATAAAGTTGGACAAAACAGTAGAGAACAAGACCAATAAAACTTAGGCATTGTAAACATTACAGGACTTCCAAAGGAGACAATAGTCAAACCGGAATGGGCATCTTAGTGAATCTTATTGCCTTCAAAGTAGTTGCCTATACCCTCAAACTTGATACTATCGCACAGAATGGAACAGAGTCTAATCAGTCAAAACAAGATTGTGGGAGTATTACAGGACTTCAAAACAAGTTAATAGGAAATCAAAAAGAGTTACTATTTATATATCCTAATTTTTTTAATTTTTCCCCTTAAAACAAACATAAGAAATAACTAAATAGTTTTTTTAAAGAATAGTAGTTACCATAATGTCTGTCTTTTTCCTTGAAATATTTGGATAAAACTTCATATACTATAGCTTCAAATATTTCCATATCAAGAAGCCCACAATAAAGCCTTTCTAATAAATAAGTGAAAATTTTATAAGGCTTCAAGGCCACATAATGGGGAATCATGATTACCACATATTTTTATATATTTGAATCATTACTTACATTAGGGAAACTATACAGTATTCATACATGCGAGATTTATTTATTTCACTTATGAATATGGTCTCAAGCTCTGCCCATTTATTAATAAATATCTCAATGTGATCCTTCTTTATAGCTGAATAATATTCCATTGTATAGAAATACCACAACTTTTTTATCCATTCCTCAGTTGATGGACACTTGGGTTGTTTCCAAGATCTGGCGATTACAAATTGTGCTGCTATAAACATAGGTGCACATATATCACTGTGGTATGATGCTTTCAGTTCTTCTGGGAATATGCCTAGAAGTGGAATAGCTGGAAAAAATGGGATTTCCAATCCCAACTTTTTGAGAAATCTCCAGACAGACCTCCACAAAGGCTGTACCAGTCTACACTCCCACCAACAGTGCAGGAGAGTTCCTTTTTCCCCACAGCCTCTCCAGCATTTGTAGTTGGTTTTCTTGATCCTGGCCATTCTTTCAGGAGTGAGATGGTATCTCAGTGTGGTTTTAATTTGCATTTCTCTAATGACCAATGATGATGAGCATTTTTTCATGTATTTATTTGCCATTTGCATTTCTTCATCTGAGAATTGCGTATTCATTTCAGATGCCCATTTTTGGATTGGATCTTTGAATTTTGGAGGTCTGAGTTTTTTTAATTCTTTATATGTTTTAGACAAGAGTCCCTTGTCTGAGAGAGAGTTCACTAAAATCTTTTCCCAGTTTGTGGGTTTTCTTTTCACTATGCTGGAGATTTCCTTTGACATGCAGAAACTTTTTAATAAGAAGTGGTCCCAGTTAATGATTCTGGGAAGTATTTCCCGTGCAGTTTGAGTCCTGTTCATGAATTCTCTACCTACTCCTATGTC